CCGTGCTCACGTCGTCCGCTCGGTTGGTACGCGCCTTGTGGTGGAATTCTTCTGCGGCCTAGACATAGGTTGTGATTCTCCCAGCTACTCGATTTCTTTCGCTTGCGTTCCCGCTGCTGAGGGTGGACGGCGGCATCACCTTCTGCCGGCAGGTATGCAGGATCTGCGCGCTGCTGCTACACGATTATCCAGCAAGCGAAGTTTGGAGCGCGTTGCTGATAGGACCCTATCGATAAATTCAGACGTGCCCGTGTTTCGGTCGGCGCCACGTATCGTACGAAACTTCACCACAGCCTATCATGCCGTGTGCGTCAAGATGCACGCGTTGGCGGTCACTCCTCAAGCTACCGAAAAGATTGCCCTGACCTGCACGCAGTGTCTAGCGGTCACGATAGTCGCGACCACGTTTCGTGGGTGCTTCGCACAGTGCCGACCGTTATTCTTGCGCCATCCGTGTCAGTAGCGATGTTTTGTCCCCAGCCTCCGTTTTCGTCAGCGGGCACCCGGCGACTCTTCTGTACTACATATTACAGCAATCAACGAGAAGGGCTTCATCCTGTCGACGATTCTTGCATCTCTTTCCACAAGGACATCGAATTCTTGACGCTTACTGTACATGGTCCAGTGCTGTACTGTTCGCCATCTAATCAAGTTGAAGTGCATCTAGCAACCATTGGATGAAGGGCGTCGGCTTAGCAGAATCCACAAGACAGATGGCCGTTTCACGCTTAATGGCCACAATGGCCATGGCCAGGTACTGAATCCAAAAAGGCTATTCGGCAAAACTAGACTCCCCTTGAGGCAACCAATGCTAACGGAAGCTCTTGGCTGCAAGATTCAGAAAATGGTGAGGTCATTCTTCTGTGGACTATGTACAGCTACGTGCAAAAAGCATGTCCTGTTGGATTAAACTCTTTTGATTCTCTGAGCGCACGGACGCCTTTCACAGTGCGAGTCCTGGCCGCCTCGCACATATTACTAGCAAGGGCTCTGGATTGATTACTCCAGAAATGGCTTACGCCAGGAACGGATGAACACCGTGGCCTCTCCATCGAGTCATCACTACCATGTGTGACCAGAATGATCTTTCAACTTGCCGCCAACAAATCCAGAAAAGTCAGCAGGCTCAGCAACGGGCTTTGCCATCATGGCGCCTCATCTTGCTCGTCTTTCGCGTGATCTTCTTCGAAACATTATCTACAGTAAGTTGCTGGGTGAGACGACCGCCACTGATGATAGCATAGCCGATCTGGTCGGTTGCCATCCACGAACTGTACGCCGAATCCGCTCGAAACTGCGCACCTTTGGAACCACAGAGACTCCGACAAATACTCCTGGCCGCCCCAAGTCGATCACGCCTCCTATGCTGAGCGCCCTGCGCGGCAACCTCGCTGTTGACCCATGTCTGACCCTGAATCAGATGGCTGCCTTTCTTCGAAAATACTACGAAGCCGACGTGTCGCGCTTCAGCATTAGCAGGACCTTGAGGAAGGATAAATGGTCCCAGAAAGCCACACAGAATGTCGCCCAAGAGCGTAACCTAGACCTGCGAGACGAATTCATGCACCAGATCTCGCAGTACCGATCCGAGCAGTTGGTGTTTGTGGACGAATCCGGCATAGATAAGAGCATCGGTATACGCCGTCGAGGCTGGGCTCCTCGAGGGAAGCGGCCACGTCAAATCAAGCGATTTCACCGCGGTCGGAGGTACCAGATCCTGCCGGCGTATACTCAGGATGGGGTGATACACTTCCGGGTATATGAGGGATCGACTGATGCGAAAGTTTTCGAGAGTTTTATCGAGATACTCCTACTACATTGTGGTCGCTGGCCCGAGCCCCGGTCTGTGTTGATCATGGACAATGCCTCTTTCCATCACTCGGACCGCATACGGGACATGTGCGCGGCAGCGGGAGTAGTGCTGCTGTACTCGGCACCCTATTCGCCAGACATCATTCCTATTGAGCATTACTTTGGCGAGTTGAAGAACTTCATCCGACAGGTCTGGAACGAACATCAAGGATTCATACGGGCTGATTTCCGATCGTTTCTGGAGGAATGTGTGACGATTGTCGGCCGGCGAAAGAAAAGTGCCAGGGGCCATTTCTACAACTGTTCGATCTCCATTGACGAGCCGCTGGACTAAAGCAATCAACTAGATAAGAATATCATGCTACTACGATGCTGTGTTCATGCTCGAGATAGACCTGAATATCCCGCACCCATCGGCGAGCCACACCTTCCAGCACGCCCTGCTCAATGAAGAACTGAGCATCGTTATCCTCATGAACCAGCTCGAGATCCAGTCCCCTCTCGAGCGTCAGGTTGTATGCAAGCTCGAAGTATCGTTTCTGGGTAGGGCTTCTTACTTTGGAGCAATGCCATTTGCAGTATGCCTCGACAGCGTCGTCCCTCAGCCCAGTCACGCAGAGGGGAAGTGGACGGGGAGGCGGGCTGACTGGGCTGCCGAGATCTGGTGACGCTCTGTCCGACGCTGCCACATAGTCTGGAATATGGTTGTGGATGATCACGGGGACATGACTAGCAGAGTTTGAACCCGAATCCTGCCGCTTGCGCTTGCGACCCTGTTGTTCCTGGGCATACAGTTGCGCCCGGATCTCCTCTGGGACATCGTCATGGGTATCCAAGCTATGGCCTTGCTGTACCCACCGGACAAGATCTCTCATGTGATGATCAAGCAGTTTGTGGTGCATCTTTCGGGCGCGATCCTGCCAGCACCACTGTCCGTTGTCGCACGGGGCACCCGGGCATCTCATGAGCTGATAGACCCGCCTCCACGGGTCAACCTCGCCAGCAGCCTCCTGCTCGGCATCCATCCGTGCACTCCGCTCTGCAAGGCCCATCGCGGTAGCGCCTCGTCCAGCGGGCCGGCCCGTGGACAGACTCTCCACATAGTCCAGCTGCACATAAACCTTCAAACGCTTGCCAGCGCGGAGAAGCTGGCTCCATCCTTGTAGTTGCCTCTCCACAACGGGCCAATCAATCTGTTGCCCTTGAAAATGCTTTGTGATCTTGTCTTCGGATCGATCATTGGGAACCGACATGACGATTGTCGTCGCGCTGGTCTCGTAAGATTTCTTTTTCGAGGCAACAATCCCGTCGACTTTAGACGAGAGCACCTCTTTCCAAAAGTCGCTCGGGGCTATAACAAGGTTCTGCTCGGTTTGTTCCACCGCCTTCCTACTGTTCAAGGTCAATTTCCATTGCATTGTATAAAGCAACCAACGCGGGGGCTGTTCATCGTATGACTGGCCTGAGGCCCATCTGTGGTAGTCCAAGAATGGCAACGCCCCAGGAACAGGTGGAAGCTGACTGTGCGGGGAAGTGCCGTGATCCAATTCCCCGTCAGAGTCGGAGATGTCTGAGCCTCCCCGATGATCATTTTCATCATCGCTGCTGATCTCATACAGCCAGTCATCTCCAGTCATGGTCGCAGTAATTGGCTCGGGGGAAAAAGGCACAGAGGGAACTGAAACGTGGCAAGCGCCCGATGGCGGGCCATAGCCACTTTAAATGAGGGTGGCAGTGTTGCATTAGTTTGGATTGACTATTAGGTGGGGCCCATAGCAAGGATGGAACATTCTGGACGAGTTCCTAGTCTGTCCCGCAAGGCAGAAAATCATCTAAAGTGAGCCGGCCTACTGGGCTGGAAAGCAGGGAGGGTCACTGAATGCGAACCACAGCCTGACGCGACCCGGCTGGCCAGATTCTCATTTCGTAGCCCTTTCGTAGCCAACTGATGTACTTCATCTTCACTGCATCCAATTTCCATCTTTACATGACTTTCAACAAGGGCATTTGGAAAGAGGGGAAATCCCACCACTGGTTCTCCCCTAATCCCAGATCTTCTTCCCCCTCCATTATCCGTCAAGCATGGCTGAGATGCAGCCAATCTTCGTCCCCAATCAACTTCACAGCTGACACAGCCAGCTGCATCCAGCTGCGTATTGCTGCATGAAGACGCTAAAATCAAGTTACGTCCAGAGCCTGATCTTACATGCGCAGGGAGGGAGACAGCGAATCAGCCCGACGTCTCCCCTTCCAACTTGCTCCGCGTTTTGTTATTATCACCTTTTATGCTCGATCGAATCTGCATAGTTATCCCCTCTTCAATGGCCACTGGAACCCTAGCAACGGATGGAGCTTCATTCTCATCTACGCGGTACAGTAATCAACAGTCATGGCAGACGTCGCGAAGTATACGGTCGGCTGGATATGCGCAATCCCTACTGAGTTCGATGCGGCACAGGCCTTCCTTGACGACGAAGACGAAGAACAGCCCCCGGTCGCACAAAACGACAATAACAACTATGCTCTGGGTCGAATCGGTTCTCACTGTGTAGTGATTGCTGTACTGCCTGATGGAGAGTACGGCACAAATGCTGCTGCTGCCGTGGCGCGGGACATGCTGCACAGCTTCCCCAATGTGCGCATTGGACTCCTGATCGGCATCGGCGGGGGCGCGCCTAGTCCGAAGCATGACGTCCGGCTTGGGGATATCGTCGTTAGTAGTCGGGACGGAGGCAAAGGCGGCGTCTTCCAGTACGACTTTGGAAAGGCTATTCAGAATCGGGACATTCCTTTCGAGCATACCGACTTCTTGAACCAACCACCGACAGTGTTGCGAACAGCCGTCAGCGCACTCAAGAGTCGGTACAAGAGAAAGGGACATCAGCTCAATGAGCACATCGAGAAAGCACTAGCAAGGTGGCCCCGCCTGCGAAAGACATACGCGCGGCCCTCTTCGCAAAGCGATAGGCTCTATCGATCCGACGTCCTTCATCCGAATGGAGCGGACGGATGCGATAGCGCGTGCGGCGATGTTCCAGCTCACCTCGTGCATCGGACTGAACGAAACGATCTTGACGACAATCCCGCCATCCACTATGGATTGATTGCTAGTTCCAATCAACTGATGAAAAATGCCAAGATCAGGGATACCATGGCAAGAGAGAAGGGCGTCCTATGCTTTGAGATGGAGGCGGCTGGTCTTATGAACCACTTCCCATGCCTGGTGGTCCGTGGGATCTGTGACTATTCTGATTCACACAAGAACAAGGAATGGCAAGGGTTCGCGGCGATGACGGCGGCTGCTTACGCGACGGACCTTTTGCGTCAAATTCCGCCGAACAAGATCGAGGCTGAAAAGCCAATCGGGGAGGTGTTAGACCGGGGTTAGTATGGCAATCCGAGTTTGATTAGCATTCTAACTCGAGGTAGTCCAAAAAGATCTGAGCTCTGTACACGAAGATGTGATTGGAACGAAGACCGCTGTGATAGCCTCTAGAAACGACAAGCATGTTGAGAAGGTTCATCGCTGGCTATCACCTGCAGATCCGTCGACCAACGCGACGAGGGCGAGAGAACGCCGGCATGCCGGCACTGGAACTTGGCTGCTGGAAAGTGCCGCATTTCGGGAGTGGGAGGCTGGAGAACGCCAATGTCTATGGCTCTATGGTCTTGCAGGGTGTGGTAAAACAGTGCTGAGCACGACAATTCTCGATCACCTTGAGAAAACGGGAGCGCACCCTACGCTAAGATTTTTCTTCGATTTTAACGACACGAGGAAGCAATCACTGGATGACTTACTACGCTCATTGGCGTTTCAATTGTATCGCACGGAAATAGAGGCCACAAAAGTACTCGACAGACTATTCACCTCTAGCGATGATGGCCGCCGACAGCCAGACGTCAACGCTCTTTCCGCCTGTGTCGAGTCGATGCTACAGAGCTCCCTCCGCATCACCGTCGTTCTAGACGCTCTAGATGAATGCACGACGAGAGACAAGCTCCTTTCCTGGGTTCGACGACTTTCCAGTAGCTCGAACACGAAGAAGACCAAGCTCGTCGTGACTGGGCGGCCCGAAGCAGAATTTCAACGCGAGATTCCTCGGCTTTTCGGCGAAGATAACTGCAAGCTGCTGAGCAAAGAGGCTGTTAACGCCGATATACGCTCCTATGTCGGCCACGAGCTTCATCAGCGGCCTGACTTCAAGGAGAAAAAAATACCTCACGATCTCTTGAATCAAATACGCAGCCAGGTTGGAGACGGAGCGGATGGGATGTAGGTGTGCAAGGATACCTTGATATGCTATGAAGCTCTGACATTTAATTTAGGTTTCGATGGGCGGCGTGTCAGCTAGACAGCCTTGCCCAATGCCTCCATCCTCAGGCCATCAGAGAAGCTTTACGCAATTTGCCCCGGGATCTCGACGAAACGTATCAGCGCATGCTTCAGAGTATAGCGCCGGAGCTCAAGGACGATGCGTTTCGGCTGTTACAGTTTCTCGTCCATGCTAAAAGACCTTTAACAGTATCCGAAGCTGTGGACGTGATTGCCACGCTGATAGAGAAAAGCCAACGAGAGTTTAACGCCGAACGCAGACTACTTCGTGACGACGACATATTATGTTACTGTCCCAGTTTGGTATCAATCGCTGAGGTCGAGCGAGACGAGGTAATAGTAAGAGAAATACAGCTTGCCCACTTTTCAGTCAAGGAGTACTTGGTGGAACGAAGCCAATTCAACCTCGAAATGGCCAGTAGGGCAATCGCGACGACTTGCTTCACATACATCGAAAGCATTGACTGCGAATTCCAGACCATGAGATCGACATTCCCTCTGGCACGGTATGCTGCAGAGGTAGCACTGATACATGCCCAGTTGGCGGAATCGTCCCAGGAGACTTTTGACGATATAGCAACCTTTTTCCAAGAAGAAACCACTTTCACACGATGGGGCTACCTTTATCAGCCCGATAGACCTTGGGAAGATGAGCCTGGGTTACCTAAAGCAGGATGCCTGTATTATACTTGCCTCGGTGGACTCTCAAGGGTATCTAGGTTCTTCATTGACAATGGCGCAGACGTCAACGCACAGGGTGGCCAATACGGCAACGCTCTCTGTGCTGCCTCTGAAGGAGGCCATCAAGAGATCGTACAGTTTCTACTCGATAGAGGCGCAGATATCAACGCACAGGGCGGCTTCTACGGCAACGCTCTCTACGCTGCCTCTTCTGATGGCCACCAAGAGATCGTACAGCTTCTCCTCGACAAAGGCGCAGACGTCAACGCGCAGGGCGGCGTCTACGGCAACGCTCTCCAGGCTGCCTCTGATGGAGGCCACCAAGAGATCGTACAGCTTCTTGTCGACAAAGGCGCAGACGTCAACGCACAGGGTGGCCACTACGGCAACGCTCTCTACGCTGCCTCTTCTGGAGGCCACCAAGAGATCGTGCGGCTTCTACTCAAGAAAGGTGCAGACGCCAACGCGCAGGGCGGCCACTTCGGCAACGCTCTCTGTGCTGCCTCTGAAGGAGGCCATCAAGAGATCGTACAGCTTCTACTCGATAGAGGCGCAGATATCAACGCACAGGGCGGCGAGTACGGCAACGCTCTCTATGCTGCCTCTGAAGGAGGCCATCAAGAGATCGTACAGCTTCTACTCGACAATGGCGCAGACGTCAACGCACAGGGCGGCGTCTATGGCAACGCTCTCTACGCTGCCTCTGATGGAGGCCACCAAGAGATCGTACAGCTTCTCCTCGATAGAGGCGCAGATATCAACGCACAGGGCGGCGAGTACGGCAACGCTCTCTACGCTGCCTCCTCTGGAGGCTACCAAGAGATCGTACGGCTTCTGCTCGACAAAGGCGCAGACGTCAACGCACAGGGCGGCTTCTATGGCAACGCTCTTCAGGCTGCCTCATATAGAGGCCGTCAAGAGATCGTACAGCTTCTACTCGATAGAGGCGCAGATATCAACGCACAGGGCGGCAAGTACGGCAACGCTCTTCAGGCTGCCTCATATAGAGGCCGTCAAGAGATTGTACAGCTTCTACTCGATAGAGGCGCAGATATCAACGCACAGGGCGGCGAGTACGGCAACGCTCTCTACGCCGCCTCATATAGACGCCACCAAGAGATCGTACAGCTTCTTGTCGACAAAGGCGCAGACGTCAAGGCACAGGGCGGCTTCTATGGCAACGCTCTCTATGCTGCCTCTGAAGGAGGCCATCAAGAGATCGTACAGCTTCTCCTCGATAGAGGCACAGATATCAACGCACAGGGCGGCAAGTACGGCAACGCTCTTCAGGCTGCCTCATATAGAGGCCGTCAAGAGATTGTACAGCTTCTACTCGATAGAGGCGCAGATATCAACGCACAGGGCGGCGAGTACGGCAACGCTCTCTACGCCGCCTCATGTAGAGGCCACCAAGAGATCGTACAGCTTCTTGTCGACAAAGGCGCAGACGTCAACGCACAGGGCGGCTTCTATGGCAACGCTCTCCAGACTGCCTCTTCTGACGGCCACCAAGAGATCGTACAGCTTCTTGTCGACAAAGGCGCAGACGTCAACGCACAGGGCGGCTTCTATGGCAACGCTCTCCAGACTGCCTCTTCTGACGGCCACCAAGAGATCGTACAGCTTCTCCTCGATAGAGGCGCAGATATCAACGCACAGGGCGGCGAGTACGGCAACGCTCTCTACGCTGCCTCTGATGGAGGCCACCAAGAGATCGTACGGCTTCTACTCGATAGAGGCGCAGATATCAACGCACAGGGCGGCGAGTACGGCAACGCTCTCTACGCTGCCTCATATAGAGGCCGTCAAGAGATCGTACGGCTTCTACTCGATAGAGGCGCAGATATCAACGCACAGGGCGGCGAGTACGTCAACGCTCTCTACGCTGCCTCATATAGAGGCCGTCAAGAGATCGTACGGCTTCTCCTTGAAAAGGGTACAGATGTGAGCAACCACTAGCAAACTCAGACACCAGGCCAGTAACCGTTTGTACGGAAAACGGCGGCTATAGAAACATTTTCGAGGCTACTTGAGCGGAGCTCTCCAGTCCACGATGCAGCCCTGAAGACCTGAATGGCAATACCATCTTCTCGTACGATGCAACTTGAATCCAGAACTATTGCCTGCATTTCCGACAACAGCTCTCTCCTAACCTATGCAAGAATCCAGCTGTACTGTTATAGAAGCGCGGGCAAAAGATACAAGGGCGCTTCTGGTGGATTATATACTTTTTCTCGTTATGTTGATTCTACTGGGGAAGGCATAGGTTTCGTTGCTCCTAGCGTATTCGCTTGATGATTGTACCGCTGCTTGCCGTTAGCATAATAGTCCTCTTAAGGCCTACGCGCGAAGGCTATAGTCGACGGTTTTAGGAAATAGCACGGTTGAAGTGAGATCGCGAGAATGAGAAGCTGGAAGTGGGATCGGTTGCCTGAATATTCTTGGGCGAGAGAAAAGCTGACTCAGGATAGAGCCAACAAAACTTTGGATGTTTGCCAAGCCTAAGCGTACCTTATCACCGACCACACTGTGCCAATGCTCCACCAGGAACCCCGCTTATAAGGCTACTTGAGTAGACATGAGACAACCTTTCTTGGTCCAGCTAGTATCCAAACTTCGCCTGGCGGCGTCGACAGTTTCGGCTTACGCTTGTATATTGAGGTCCCGTAAAGTACCTGTGGCCTGTGCGCCCGAATTGCAATCAGTGCTAACAGGACATGGAATTCGCACATAGCTGTATCTCGGAAAATGCAGACTTTGTGCTCCTTCATGAAAGACCACAGTGACCTAGAAGACAGACCCACGGTGAGGGCCTGCTTATGCTGCTTTTTTCCATGGTGCAGATTTTGGCTTCTGACTACCATCAAGATACCCGTAGGTGAATCGACAAACACCTATAGCAGCAACGTGCAAAAAGCATGGCTTGTTCAATCAGACTCTGTCAAGTCTCTGAGCGCACGGGCTTGTCTTGACGGTAGGGAGCAATCGGACCTCGCAAAAGATACCGGGGATCAGAACTGAACACTCCAGAAATGGCTTGCGCCAGGAACGGATGAACACCGTGGCTTCCTCATTGGGTCATGGCTTTCGTGTCCAAATCGGATACATACATAGTTTATTACGCCCCGGCTAAGCTATTCAGGGCTCGCATGATTATCTACATGTTCTCCACCATCGTTGATATCCTTGCCTCCTAAATCGGATACAGATCGGTTTCCTTCTCTGCGGGCATAAATTGATCCGCGCACAGATGTTTGTGAATCCGTCTGCCAACAGAGCACACGACAATGCCCTGACGGTACCTGCTTGATGGCCCCCATAGCCGGAGTCAGGAATTGCATTTACACTGTGTCCATGGAATAGACCCATGTTGTCCACAAACAGCGATGGCAAGTGTAGTCTCTATAGTATTGATCATATGTTGCTTCCTCTTGGCAACACACTTCATCTTTTTGGACTTGATCCACACAGGCTGGGCCCATAGTCGTTCTTACTGTGTACATGCGACCACGATCAGATGTGCGAGAATGAATGCTGTGAAAGCCGGTTATGGATGCTTTGGAGTAGCTCTTGATTACGCGTTGCCACTCGCACTGTCGTTCGCCATCCTGACCCACATTTTTGTTCGCAAACCAGTTGCTATAGCCATGACCAGAGGTTTGTGGAGACCCATCACAGCAGGTTTCGGCTTCTCGAACATTGAGAATGTTTGTGAGAGAGGAAGCGACATGTGCACAAAACTGTACAGTATGCAACATAGGTCAAAAAGAAAACCTCAGTAAAGAAGCGATTCTGGCCTTACTGTGGAGGTCATCGATGAATGTACTTGATCAGTATGTATCCTGTCAGCAAACGGGACCATATATGTCTGTGCACAGATCAATTTCTGCCCGCAAGGACGGAAACCAAATTCGAATTCTACTGTAAACCCCGGCGGGGTCCAGTGAGGTCCCTGGTCTTCGCAGCAGGGTGCTACACGCCTCACCAATCGGCCTGGGTCAGAGAAGCTACGCGAGAGCTTTCTTCAGTTCGTGTACGCCCTGGCCACACGGCAGAATATCGGCGGTACAGGAGTCCGCGAAAAGGCCTTCACCTTCTTCAACTCTCTGATCTCTTTCCGCACAGACACATAAACCGTTTTTGATGCTTACACAGTGTATATTAAACCCTGGCTCACAGATTTACATGCCAAACACTTGGGCAAGCTCTCCATCTCCAGTAACAGAGGTTGGGTAATCCAGAATCGGCTTTCCAACCCACTTAGAACCCCTGCTGGTGATGACACCGAAGCCAATGTCTGCCCCAAACCATGGATGGAGCACCCCTGTCAACTTAAGGTTTTTCTGGGCTAAGTACTCCCGTACTAAGCCAGACTGTGTTGGTGCCAAGATATCAAACGTCCGTGCGGAAAGAGAGAAGTGTGTTGAATATGAGATGAATCCCTTTTCGCTGACCCCTGTAGGAATTGCTCACATTCCCAATATTGTACCACGCGCTGGAGCTTGGCAAGGGGTTGCCAAGAACAGACGTGGCAGAGCATCGAAGCGGAGGATCCGAATTAGATACGGGGGTTGGTGGACCATAGCTAGTTCACCGACCTGGCAAATCTCATTACTAAGGTAGTTGGTCCAACACACTCCACCAGCGAGTTCCCTCGTGCCACTGCTGCGTCGCTGACCGGCACCGCCCGCACAAGGCAGGGGTTGCGTGACATAGCCTGGAGACACCTGAGATGTTCCGAACAACAATCACCAGCTAACGGCGCTATCACCGAGCAGCCGTGAGTGATGCTGGAAAGCACACTGTGTCAAGGTTGAAGTCAGCCAAGCCCACCATTGCCAGCCCAGCCAGACGTCTCCGCTCTACAATTTTCCCGCTCTCTTCTTGAGGCAGCCAACTTCCATAAAACGCCTTGTTCCCTTGTGATCTCCGACGCATCTCCTCCACTGGATCGAGTTCGTTCGTGCTCGCCCAACTTCGAAACGTCGACCTACGCGGCCAAGGGCCAATGGGACTATCCGCCTCAGGTTGAGCTCTGCTGGTTGTACGCTGCGGCCAATGACGATGTTCATGCTGAAGCACTCCTCGCGTGTCAGGGTTTTGGCTGCACTGTAGCCACAGATGGCATACCGATACTCTGGGAAATCGATGTATCCATTGCAAACTCGGATGCTCTGAAGACAAGCTTCGCAGTCATATCGTCGACTCCTGACGGATGTCGTTTTCTCAACTTTGCGGCCGCTTTAATCGCATTTGTCAAAAACGAAGACGGCGCGAAAGCGCTTGCTCTCTTGATGGCAGCATCGGTATCGGATCCTGAGCAGAGAGTGCCAAGCTCGGCAGACCTGACGACGATTCTCGAAGCCCTTGTGAAGTATCTGCCTCAGGAAAGGAACAAAGACCTTGCGTCACAATACTCAGCAGCCGCCCGGCACCACTCCGATCCCGAAGCCGTGGACCTGGCTTCTTGGATTAAGGGTTGGGTCGTGCGAAACCACAACAACACTCACGACATATCTCCGTTTTGTCGTCGAATTAAGGCATTTCTAGATTGGTGCCAGAGACCTGAGGAAAATCGCTGAACGACTCGGAATGCAAGGGAGGCAGTGGTGTATCCTGATAATCAGCTTCAGCCTCCAGTCATCACTAGCGATGCTCTTTCATCGTACGGGATCCCACATTCTTGCCGTACCAAATATCAGCGCTTTTGAGTGGAGGTGTTCTGAAGATCAAGCTGAAGGCTGGCGCCCGGTGGTCCGGCTCATCTTGGTGCTTGCGGTGGGTCAAGCCTGTATTCAAGCTGAGGTTACGCGCACTGCAAGACATGATTGTGTCTCCTGCGTCGGGATAGGTTGCAGTCAAGACGCGCTCAGTTGGAAGAGTGTTTGACGTACGCTCGGTAGCCTTCCCAAACAAATTCAATCGATGTATTGCCAGTTGCGTTCAACCCCATTCCCGTACTATCCAAGTTTTTGATAGGTACACACTAAGTACAGTACATGACAAAGTGACTCTCTCGGCTGTTGGTTCACGCTTCAGCCTACTAAAGTCAATGCGGGGGCGCACTGCTTGCTGAAAGCTGATGCTGCTCATGTGTGACAGGAGCAAACAGCTCCACGGCCGTATTGTCGGCGGATGTAGGCCCCGCTCGGTAAAAGCTGACGGTCGCTCAAAGAAAGCTCGCTGAAAGCCAAGGGGAAAGTCTGCTGGCTTCGCCGATATGGGACCTCAAGAACGCAGGAGCCACGCCGAAAAAGGCGTCGGGAAAGGTCACGTCCAAAACATGCTCCGGCCGGGTGCTCCCGGAGTAAATGCTAGCTTCATATGTCGCTGCATCCACAACCTCGTCGCATATTCTGGGCCTGGTCCAGATCGCACCCACTGGAGGGCAACTACGGCCGTTTGCTCATTCGAAGCTCGCAAGTTTGACGCTTACTATCATAAACCCCAACCCAGTGCACGACCTATCATGGATCGAGAGCTGAGACTTTCAGGGTCTACCATCTCCTCCTGTGGTTGGTTGGTAATGTATCCTACAACGACCAATGCAATGCAGAGATATGAAAGCGAATGGGTGCCGGGTGTGGCCACCGCCACGTGTTGGAAGTTGCCTGTTGCAAGATCTGGTAGTTGATGGGCCCTTGCGACCACCGACAGTGTGCTTGCCGCCTCCGATGGAACTGTTACTGGGAAACCTCGTACCTACATCCGTATTTCATTTCCATTTGCACCACTTCTACAGGTCCCCGTTGGATGAGCAGGGCATTTTTTTGAAGCCAGCTATCTGCCACACGTTCATCCGTTGAGGGGTGACTTGTCGGCACCCGCTTGCGACCACCGACCACTGACCTAATCGACACAACCACGTGGCAACATTGACACAGAACTCGAAACATTGGCTAGTCTGAGATGATGGGTGTTGCATGTGGCTACAGTACACGCCCATTTGCTACTTTCCCTAGCGCCACTCTTGGCAGAGAACGGCCGTTGACGCCAAGCATCATGGCTCGGTGCGTAACGAAAGGGCTCTCGAAATGCCTCCGAAAATTTCCTCAAGAGACAAGATTGTTACCATCAAAAGATTCAAGCATACATAGCACTGCATGGTCAGCTGTTCACGTTGCCCAGAGCGCCATGGCCCGAAGACCGGGAGATGTTCCGAGCGATGACGTCGATGCCCTTCAGTGTAGGGGTGCCTGGCAGACCTGCTAACAAAGACGGCAGAAATCGGGAAGAGAACCAGTTAGCAGAGCATCGAAATCGGCAAAACTATTATCCATCAACCTCTGTATTACCTGCGCTCCCTCTGGTCACTTGTTTTGTCACTGATCAACCTCGGGTCGCGCTATATTGGTCCGAAATTTAGGGGCATGATCCATGCTTATGGTGAGTGCGCGGATTTGTGACCAAACACAAGGCTCAGTACTAACTGATCGCGCAGTGAGTGTCTTTGACCATTCCAGAGCTCTAAAGTCATCTCATTCAATCCCTGGTAGCCTAATCGTAAAAGGGACAGTTAGTTCTCGAGATGGACGGCAACGACAATCATCATGCAGCTGTCTTCGCGTCTGCGTCCGCATCACCGGGAGTCGAAGAAACTCAGACCTCCAATCTAACGTCCATGCCTCCGGCGACCCGTGCGATATATGAAGACTTCAGGGATAAATTAGAGTCTCTACGAGCTGTCATTTCCAAGAAGGGCGACGAAGATGACCTGGATGACGCTTTGACGCTTGCAAGAGCGCTTAGACAATTGACAGCACCCCTGATGTCCACCATCAAGCAAGAAGGATCTGCGGTATTTAGGGAAGAGACCAGCGACACTGCTGCCGGCCCTGACTGGCTGGAAGATCAACGAAGTTAACATGCGGCCTTTGCCTAGGAGGGATGATCGGGCTCTTACTAATGCCTAGGGGAGGGTAAATTGCAGTAAGAAATCTAGTAGTCGTAAACAGACACAGCTGCGCGTGGGGAGGGGAATCTGACGAGGCTGCTTTGTCAACGGAGAGCACAGTCTCGGGAGGTGGCGAAAGGAGGCGCCTTCCCTCGAATAAGGCTATCAGATTCATGGGGAGGTTCTTATGTAGTTGGTCTTGAACAGTGGTCCTTGATTGGTGTGCTACAGTAGCCGTGCATTTGTGCTTCTTGACTGCACCTTTCCACCACCAGGATCTTTCCCCTGGAGAATTAGCATTGCCACCGCCTGTGCACTGAATGCGCATAAGCCATAGCCTCCAACTTCTGATGGAAGGTTTTGCATGCACGGATCTCCGCTCGTGGGGATTCAGCACCATTCAGATGTCATTGCCGAACTCGGCGACCGTATTCATCCTGCTTGCTGGACTGTGGACTCAAGCCTGATGACAGACCTCCAGTATGGTCGGCAGTGGCATAATGGATGGGGATAAGTGTGGTTGTGTTGCTTAGAGTCATCTGCTGGGCCTGTAGTGGATCTATATTCGCGACCGTTGGAGACTTAGACTCTTCTTGCCTCCTCTTCTTTCTCTTGTCCTTTTTGCTCAATTTCCTGAAGCTGCCTTCTGCTTTTGGTCCTGCCTTTAATGCCGAAATCGAATTCCACGAGACTGATGTGAGTCTTGCGTGCTCGCCTCTGGCGCGTGTTTCAGGATGCGTTGCGCTGTCAGGCTGGCTGTACAAAATGGTCAGCTTTGCCAGTTGGCCTTGTCTCCGAGCACGGATGGTGCGAATCGTACCACAGGTTAAGTTCCTGAAGCCCGGCGGTGGTGCATTGATCCCACAGGGCAAAAGCTGGATTCGTATTTTCTAGGACAAGCACCACGCCCCCATCAGGATCGAGCGTGTGCGAGCGCCCCATAGGGTCGCGTTGCTCAAAGATGCTGTCGGTAGGCGCGGCGCGTAGAGGCGCAGTCATGGCAGATGCTGATTCCCAGTTCGGTGATGGAATCAAGCGAGGATTGAACAGCCAGTCAGGTGTTGTTCTTAGTTTTCGTTGATGGCGCTGGACTGCCATATAACTCATCACGGCAAACGTGACGGGCAGGCCAGGCGTTGTGTCACTATGCGTATTTTCTCACGCAAGCTTCCCCTTTCGCAATAATGTGCCGTACGCGCGCGCTTTTAGATGCAAGTTCCTCTAGCCAAGTTGCGCTGGAGTCTGTGCCGGCATCCGTATGGTCCTCGGCCAATCGCGCACTCTCACTATGCACTGCATGACATTCCGCTCGAAGAGCTGGCAGTGCCGGGGGCATCAGCTACGTATCTCGAGCTACGGTGCACAAACAGTAGTTCTCCAGCCTGCCATATCTTGAGACCCCCGTACCCCAGTGACGCTGACCAATCTGCCAATGCGTTTGTCAATCCAGCAAAGCAAACCAAGACATGCATTTGGCCGGATCTATTTCGCCTGGGCACCTTGAGGGGCGGAAGATCGATGCTATCCTAAAGTCAATGATCACCAACTTATTCATACGGCCCCTGGCTTCACGCCCAATGGGTACACTGAGCATTGCTTCCCTGACTGTTTATTTCGCTATCGTCCGGGCTCTCCAGCAACCCCTCCAATCAGATTAGCATGAAGAGGGGCTCATCCTTAAGCCGTTGATTGGGCAGTGTCTTTTGTTGGCTTCGGAATATCAAGTTTCCGACAGCCGCGTCGCCGACCAAAGATGCAGAAGCCCGCAAACCCCATCCGCTAACTGACCAACCACTTACCATCCGCCATGACCGGATTATCAGAACAGATCAAGCGCAATCCCATTGGAAATGGGCTTGATGATGTTCGCAGTACTTTCAAGTCCGTAAACACCAGGGAAAAGACGCCATATTCTACAGATTCAGTAGATCAACTCGGCCAGGAAGGTACGAGCCCTGGCTCTCGCTGCTTAACCCCTCTAAATCATTTACCGATCTTCGGAACCTGACCCTCCCTCTCCTGGTTGCCTTGCAAAGCCACGTCCTTTCAACATCTCTACCATCGACATCGGGCTGCGGCAGTTTACAAAATGATCTCCTCAGACTTATCTCGGCCGCAGCCTCCGACAGCTTCGACTTCAATCGCGTCAAACCACTTCTGAAAGCGGCTTTCTCTAGTAAACTCGATGATGCCACCATCTGGGAGGCACATAGAGCCATTACAGAAACCACGCCATCCTCCCCCCCCCCCCCCCCCCCCCCCAAACCCCCCTCCCTCCACCACCTTCTCCTTCAAACCCCTCAAACCCCTTCTTACAAGGGCTTTCCTTAATAAACCCACGTACGCCCCCACCCGGGAGGAAAAAAAACCCCTTAAAAAAACCCCCCCCCCCCCCCCCCCCCCCCCCGGAGAAGAATAGCTTCCTCGCTTCAACAAACACCATGGCTGCGGAGCACGACCAGTTTTACCAATACATCCGAACATCGCCGATATGTTGACGATATACCGAAGGAGGAGCTCGGCACTACGTACGTGAAACTTCCCGGTTTCCGAGATGCTTACTTTTGAAGATTGGACGGACTAGAAGCTGCATCCACGGAGGTTTTCGATCAGTGCTTTCATGACCGCGAGCCTGTATTTCAAAATGGCTGGAGGGATGGCCTCGGGATCCGAACGAAAAAAGCATGTTGGAGTGGCTCGCCGACATCGTAAAGACGCTGGCGCTACTTGCAAAAGCCCAGAAGTCCAACGCGACACATCAGCGGAGCCTCTTAACTTAGCTCAACACGCCAATGCATGGTTCGACGGCGGACCGCAGGCTGGATGTTGGTTTTGTCGATGATTTAAAAGGACCTCCATACCACTGGAAGCAAATACTAGTACCCGGAGAACTGAAGAGTAATCCGTCTGCCGACACCGCCTCCAAAGCTTGGATCGACCTTGGGAGATATGCGAGGGAAGTGCTCGCCGCACAGGACACCCGACGCTTCGTGATGGGCTTCACGCTCTGTGGATCTCTCATGAGAGTGTGGGCCTTTGACCGGCTTGGAGCCCTCGCATCAGAGCAGTTTGACATCAACAAAGACGGCCTGCAGTTTGTGT